TCACGTGATAAACGAGACAACAACCGCGGCCGGGGCGAAAAGAAGAGGTTGATGACTCGACCCGCGAGGGAACTGCTACTACTAGGCTACTCCGCGTGGTCTCTACGTCCACGGTCCACGGACGCCGGACGGTCTCCGGTGGACGGCGACATATGCGTACGTGGCCTTGGCACTTTGGCAGGCCTGCCATTCCCCGTGCTCGCGCGCCGCGGGTGGTTGGCGTGCGCGTCGTTGGCGTTGCACGTGCTGCGGCCGCTTGCTTGAACGACACACCGCCGCGCGCCCAGGACCGTCCTGCCCCAATACATGACCAGGGCGCGGTGCCGCCGAGTTTGGTGAGCTGCATTTGTCCAACTACACTTACCACCACCACCACCACCTTCATCTTTTGGCCGTCATAGAATACATTGATATACTACCTCCATCACAAAAAAATTAAATGTTTCTTCATTAAAGTATCTAAAGTTTATTAAAATTATTACGACACCAAATAGATATAATATAAAAATATATCTCATAACAAATCTAATAATATTTATTTGATACTTCCTGCATTCCAAATTATAAGACGACATATATCTCATAACAAATCTAATAATATTTATTTGATACTTTTCCATTCCAAATTATAAGACGTTTTGACTTTTGTCGATACATGGTTTTCGCTATGGACTTAGATATACACCATGTTTAGGTACATAGTAAAATTAATAGACATAGAAAATCAAAACATGTTACAATTTGGAATGGAGGGAGTATCATGAATATTAATATTTTTTATATATAGTTAGTTAAATTTAAAATATTTTAACTAGGTATTGTGCTAGAGTTAATTTTTTTTAGACGAGAATTGCATTTGTTTACTAAGGGAGTACAAAGTTATGTTATTATCGGCATCAGAGCTTAGAAGCAGCAGTGATTAAATCATAAGATTTTTCATGAAATGCTGAAATAGTGGCTGCTACCGACTGCTGTTTGGTCATGTGACAGGATGCTGGCTGGATTAATAATAACCAACTCAGCGTTTTTTTTATGTTGCCCATGCATCATGAACCCAAAATTCCGTTAGTATATATATAGCTAGTCAGGGCAGCCTCCATAATATATAGTACTTCTTCTGTGGCCATATTCCTGTGACGCAATAATGCGTAGTGCCAGTATCTGCCTTTTTTGGGTTAATGATATAAACAACTCGACCTGCCGGGCAAGTCACATGGCTATGTGATTTATGTATGCGCCATATTTTATATATAGCGACCGATCTGGAGTTCATAGTTTGGTTAAGAAATTGGCATGTGATTGACGTTTAGGCCTCATCCATGTGGCCTGTTTTTGGTCGGAAAACAAAACTACCTTGCGGTTCCCCAAAAACATCGTCAATGTGCTTGGTGTGCGCCATAGACACCATCACTTGATGAGCATTACCACAAATTTAAAGTGCAATCAGTCAAGGTTTGTATGTCAAATTGTCAACACTACTAGCCGTGCAGTTTATATATTGAACAACAGTCACAGACTAAGCAGCCGACAGCTATATTTTCTGACTTTCTATAATTTTATTTACCTTGTTTTTTTTTGGGCAGAACGAGTTAGCTAGACGGAGCTTCGTTGACAAAGATAGTTAAAATATGAGATTCGACCCCTTGTTATTACATCATGACAAGCTCATCTCCTCTGGCAAATGGTTGAAAACGCCCTTTTTCTGAATTACTGTTACTCGACAGGCCTCTCTCCTACGATTTGACATCCTCTTGCCATCTCTCGTGCGTGTTCGCTGGTTGGTTTCTGAGCTAGTTTGGACTGGCTGGTGCTAGTTTGGTGTGAAAGGAAACACTGTTGACTAGTTGAATAAGTCTGGCTGAAACCAACAAACGAACATGGTGATTCTCTCTAGTGGTGCCTGCTGGACCTCACACGACACTCTCAAGAAAAGCTGGCATTAGGAAGGTTAGATGCTAAGCAAGCATGCGATTAGGAAAAGAAAGTGCCCGTCTGAGGATGACTCCTTAGCGAGAATATTATAGTCGCCACGAGACAGATCTTGGCAGGCATAACAGAGGGAGAAAGGGATTATTGTAGGGAGCTAACACGCTGCAAAGTGCAGTTCCAAGCTATTGTTAAAAAGCTACTGTTTACCTAAAACCAAAGAAAGGGGGCGAAAATGACGTTCTTAAACCAGTCTGGGTTCTGTTAGATTTAGAGCTAGCGTACATTGAATTAATGGTTGATGCTTATGGCTGTTCATGAAGAAACCAGAACTTTGTGAATTTTATTTACTTTTCCATAGTGCTACTGCTCACTCCAGTTAAATGGAGTGTTGGCTTGGTTTGAAATAGAAATTTGGTGGGGAAACTCTCCCCCCCGTTTGGTTTTAAAAAAAAATATAGAGCACAGTTATCATAATTCTAGCAGTCATGATAACACTTCTTTTTTATATATTATAAAGAAAGCAACTAACTGGTGAGTGGTGTGTGTCGTGTTAACATATATGCTGACTTTCTAGGGTGATCATCTTTCTCATGGGTCACATAAGCAATCATATTGCAAAAGACCTGATAATTAAAAAAAACAGTTATTGCCTATACTAAAGAGATCCTCCAGGACACCCATCTGAGGCCGCGTTTAGTTGCTGGCCGAAGTTGGCGCCGCGGGGAAGAGAGGTCACTGTAGCGCACTGTAGCGTTTCTGTTTTTATTTGGTAATAATTGTCCAATCGTTGACTAATTAGGCTCAAAACGTTCATCTCACAAAGTACAACCAAACTGTGCAATTAGTTTTTGATTTCGTCAACATTTAGTACTCCATGCATGTACCGTAAGTTTGATGTGACGGAGAATCTTCTTTTTGCATAGTGTCAAAGTTAGGAATTTGGTGGAACTAAACATGTTCTGAGAATTTCGGAGATTCAGTACAAAAGTTCCAGCAAGAAAACTTTACCTAATTAAAAAGGCCAGCTTTCCCCTGTTTGCTTTTTGTGTCCAATCCACGGCTGTTTTATCATTTGTGTGCAGAAAAGAGAAGAAATATACTGTATACATAACCATGATTTAGCCTGTCATATGTTTCAAGGTAGTCTTGTTGTAGATCAACTTTTTTCCCGAAATGAAGTTTTGTTCATATCATTTTTATACCAAAGCTTTTGTTAAGGGTATGTAGTGTATGTAGTTCTGGTGGGTCATCCATCAAGGAAAGGTTGGGTTGTGATTAATAAATAAATAAATATATATATATTATTCAATAATTGTGACGTTTAACCTAAGTAAGCTGAGAACGGCTCAGGAATTGAGATTGCAAGTAGCCATCAGAACCAGAACACACATATATAGTGCATGTGTGGTGCAAGCGCATGAGGTGGACTCGTGTTATCGCAATCGATCAACTCGTGATCCCCAGCGATCGGAGCGTCCAACCATAAACCTAACTCGCTAATCAGTCCACTATTCGGTTAGAATCATGCGTGGTGGCTCAACGTCTTTAGTAACATTCCAGAGAGCATTTGTTTGGTGTTTATATGGAATGCGAACTAGAGAGATTTTATAATGATGATTTTTTTCCCAAATTTTTTTTTGCCCATCAAGCCTAGAATAGCTACTTCAGTAGTGCGAGCAAGACATTTACTACTTTTAAATAAGTGATTATATTGTGGATATGGTTTGCAAAATAGACGGTAGTATATAGTAGCATTAACTTATTTCTTTTCAAAGAATTGTGCAGCGTGATTTGGCATTTTTTCATCTTTAGTTCTCCAAATTGAGCTTTGTCCCTCTAAAAATTAATAAATTAGGTCAAGAACACTAAAATAACGAACTCAGGTAAGTACATGCCACGAAACAATATGGTATGGATCTTCATATTGGTACAGGTAATGAATAAACAATGTAAACGTCCCTCCATTACTTCAATGACGCCCTAAACTAGTACTACTAGTAGATGACTTTAGTTTAGCTAACCTAAACCTACCTAAGCTCTTTAGCTCCCGTAATGCTTGTCATTCAAAATCAAAACCAAAACCATAACCAACCTATACTTATACAATTCCTTCTAACCTAATATTTCTATCAGCTGTTATTCCAGAGCTACTTTTCCTTCCCAATCCACAACCGCGCAAACATTATTTTTCTGATACTTCTAGCGGATTAAAGTTTGCACCATTACAATTCTCTCATGTGACATTAATTTATATCATTTTCAACCTTGTCATAAAACAAAACCATAATGTCATCTTGATTCAACCATGCGCACACGTGTTGCTTTCCAACCATAGTAGTGATAAAATGGTCAGACGGAAACATCATTTCTTTCATGTTATCTTCTCTTCTAAATATGCACCCCTTGTCAAATCGCATCTGTTCCTTCAACAACCGTTGTGACCAAAGTCACGGTTTTTACATGCTACCCCACTGAGAATGTGTTGCACCAAAATGGCACTGTCACTCTCACGTCAGTGCAAACATTTTAACAAACTTTTTTGAAAAAAAGAGAAAATTTATAAAATAAAATAAAAAGTTAAAGGCTTACACACACCGCCAGGTCTCACCCTCCCTGGGAGACTGGGGACAGCGTCATGGCCACACGCCCACACCACACCCACACAGGCGCAGCGCAACTGAAGAGCAGGAGAATCAGCTGCCCAACCCAAGGCAGAGATCCCCGAACCCAAAGCAAGACACAAAAACGAGCAAAACAACAGCAAAAGGAGTGAGGAGGGAAAAAATAAAAAATAAAAAACTCACGCAAAATCCCCCCACTTCACTCCTCCCCTGCCTCCTCCCATCCCCCTCAAACTGTAAACACTGCTTCACCAGTTCGCTGCTGCTTCTCCTCGTCCTCGCAGGCGCGTCGTCGATCCGGAGGGCGCCCGCCGCCGCCGCCGGGAGCGGAGGGCCCGAGCAGGAGCGGGAGCTGGGTCGGCGAATCTGGAGCCCGGGGGACCTGCATTGCAGCGGGGCCGCCGCGCGTAGCCAGATCTCCCCCGTCCCCTGCCGCGGCACCGGCACGGCATGGTGGCTGCCGCGGCGGCGGCCACCGCGCCAGATCCGGCCCACCCCTCGCGCCCGCCGCTCACGCCGGCGCTCGACAAGCCCAACTCCGCCGCCGCGCGGAGGAACTCGCAGCGCTCCAACAAGCCCGTCTCCTCGAGGTACCTGTCCGCCGCCGCCGCGTCCCCGGCCTCATCCACGTCGTCGTCTTCCTCGTCCTCGTCCCGCCGCTCCCTCTCCGCGCAGCGCACCCGGGCGTCTACTCCTCCGCCGCAGCACTCCACGTCGCCCACCACCACCACCGCGTCGGCGTCGGCGCCGGCCGCGGCCGCGGCAGCATCCGCCACTGCGACCACGATGCGGAGCCTCTCCGTGTCGTTCCAGGGGGAGTCCTTCTTCTACAAGACGTCGCGCGCCCCGCGGGCCTCGTCGCCGTCCTCACCTGCCGCGCGCCGCGGGCCCACGCCGGAGCGCAGGAAGAGCGTCTCCTCCGTGCCGGAGGCCGAGAACGCGCGGCCGTCGGGACGATGGCCGGCGGCGAAGCCCAAGGCGTCGGACCCGCTCGCGCGCAGCCTTGACTGCAGCCTCGACCGCAAGGACTCCATCCTCGCCGCCGTTCACCTCCTCCGCCGCTCTATGGCCTTCGACTCCACCACATCCTTCTCGCCGTCCGACCCGGCAGTTGCAGCCGCTCCAGACCTCTCCGCGTCCTCCGACACCGACAGCGTCTCGTCTGGTAGCAACTCGGGCGCCGGTGATCCCCCGCGACGCGGCATCAGCGTGCCGGCGAGGTTCTGGCAGGAAACCAACAGCCGCCTGCGCCGGCTTCCAGAGCCCGGGCTGCTGCTACCGTCGTCTGGCCGGAGGTCGTTTTCAGACAGCCCAATGTCACCGAGGCTGCCGGGCCGGTCCCCATCTCCATGCCGTGGAAGCAGGGGTGCCGCGAGTCCATCAAGAGGGCGCAGTGGGGAGGCGTCGCCAAATGGGCATATGGTGCAGGCTCCAGCAAATGCGCCATCTATCATCAGCTTTGCGGCAGAGGTGAGAAGGGCGAAAAGGGGGGAGAACAGAATTGAGGAGGCGCACCGATTGCGCCTGCTGGACAATCGGCATTTGCAGTGGCGATGCATCAATGCTCGGACAGATGCGACGCTACTGGTTCAGAGCTTCACTGCTGAGGTAAATCAAACCTTGATGTTGATCTTATGTTTATCCATGCATTTCACTTTAGGTAAGAGGGAGAGAGAGAAAAAAGTAATAATAGTTAGATTAGAGAGGAATACAAGTAATAGTTAAAACAATCTGTTCAATTTAATGTAGTTTGCCTAAACATTTTCTTAGGATAGAGTATTCAATTCATACTAAATAGTACTCGCAGCATGAAACGGTATAAATTTTTTTTCTGTGTTTTCCTCTTTTAGTAACATTACCAATTTGCCATTGGGAAGGCTGTAGGAGCCTGTGAAGAAATTTCGTAGTTGGAACCACAGAACCTGGTCCTTGCCTGCTCTGCTTAAGGTTATTGCATTGGAAGATTGGGGTGGATGCATTGCAAGTGTGCTAGGGGCAAAGCTAGAGCAAAATTGATAGGGCTGAGGCACTTCGTTGCTGCTTGCCCGCTGGCTGGAGTTTTGATTTGGACTTGGGTGGAGCCACACCCACAGCCCACAGCATAGACCTGCCCCTGAAATGTGCACTAAAATAGAACAAAAGGAGTTATCAATAGCTTGCTCATTATTTTCTAAGAATGAATTTTGGCAACACTTGGTGCAGATAGTGAGCAATCATGACAAAAAAACTTCCTACTATGGATGGACCTTCAGACTGTAGTAATCACACACAAGTTCCACACCTAAACAGTACACGAAATAGCAGGGCTAAAATTTGTTATTTGGTGTTTTCAGCGAGAAATTATAAATTAAGGTGTCATCTAGGCATGCATAGGTTTCAATTGAGTAAATATCTCTAGGCTTATGCTGCACCAACTAGTTTGATATGCAATATCTGTTCATGCCCACACTTTCTTTATTGATTTATTGGAACCCGAACATACCTAAATTCCACTTTTAGTTTGTCATTAGTACAATTCTTAGTTTATTGTTTGGCGCATACCCATTGCCACTTTTCTGTACCATTAGGTTATGAAAGGGTACTATGCTATTTGCTACCATACTGCTAGGGAAGCAACCGCTATCGCAACTTATGTGGGAAGAAGTGGTGCCAACTGCCAAGCCAGAATGCCAGATATGCAATGTTGCATGGCAGTTACCTGAATAACTTGGTCTCTGGAATAAAAGAAAAAGATCTTGTAGAATAGTTTCTTGAATAATGGTATTATATGCACTATCCACAACACAAGCCATAAATCTACCTGTGGTACATGTGTTGTGATTACTTGCATGTCTTGAGCTTTTGATGCATCACTGTGTATTGTCAAAATCTACGCGAGTCTAGTCGCCTGAAACTCCAGTGTAGTGTGCATACTGCTTACAAGTCAATGCCTTGCGCCCTTGCTATATTGGATGGTGGTTTATCTCTTGTGGTGAAACATAGTGAAATTATTCAATTTACTGTTTTGCATAATAATGGATTAAATAAGGATATTTATGTATAAAAGAACGCGATGAAGATATGCAGATTTTTTTACACTGCGATACTCAGACTGTAAATATACAAATAATAATGGTCATGGTGGATTAAACAAATATGATAATTTTGTGGTAAGAGAACAAAAAACGGTTAAGTGTTATAAACTAATGTTTCTTATTGCTCCTTTTTTCAGAAAACCCTTCACAGTGCATGGAAAGAAATATCAAGATTGCGTGACAATGTCAGTACCAAAAGGAGCAGACTCCAGCTTCAAAAGCAAAAGCTCAAGCTGTTTGCTATTCTTAGGGGGACAGGCAAGTGATATGTTATATTGTTGTTTAAACTGTTTATGTGGCTTGCACTAGGATTTTGAATTACTGCTTGACTTTGTATAGCTTATATATCTATTCCATTTGACATGTTCAGATGTCATATCTAGAGGACTGGTCTCATATCGAAAAACATCATTCAAGTGCTTTATCAGCAGCAATCAAAGCTCTGAAGGCTAGTACTCTTCGTCTTCCAGTTGTTGATGGTGCAAAGGTTGGCAACTGGCTGATCAAATCTAATTATGTAGCATGATTTGATGTTCACAAACTAATACTTACCTATATCTGTTCAGGCTGATGCGCAAGCTGTGAAGGAAGCAGTTAATTCAGCAGTGGATGTAATGCACACAACGACATCCTCGATATGTAATTTGTTGTCTAAGGTGTGTATATTTACCCTATCTTCCTACAGAGCTTTGATACTTTTTCCCTCCCTTGGATCATCTCTTATTATATTATACCAATGGCAAAAAAAATCCTCAGTCCCAAATCTGAAAATGTTTCCAAATAAATATATGCTCCACCCGGTCCTAAATTGTAAATTCCTCCAGATAAATGCTCCTATATGACCCCCCCTGATGGATTGCTGTGTTCATACAGAAATTCGTATTGATTACCAACATTATGGCTGTATTTTATAAATGTAATGGAGAGGACAATGTTTTGGTGTGTTTTGTAGTAATTGTGCTGCTTGGTGTCCTCTGATTTCAATACCAGTGTATTTCATCTTCTGATGTAATATATCTGCGTTCAATGTTCTGATTCCTTTAATTATCTTGAGTACGGACTGTTTAACTCTATATCTTGATCTATGTAGCATTGCGATACCTTCTGAAGTTTATAACTTCAAATTAAACCAGGCTTACATTTGTGGTTTTCAGAAAATAAAAGGCAGGGCAGCGACATGGACTTTGTTCTAAGCGAACTATTGTTTCATGTAAATTTAATGGAAAAGGAACACATGCTAGACATGTTGAAATATGATATCACTGTTTCCTGGCTAAATAAGCAGCTTATATTGGCTGCCCGCTGGACAACAAGCATCTTCAAATGTTTGGCAATATATTGTGCATTCCTATGGTTGTAGTGACGACAAATAGCAACTATGGATTCATTGCCTGTTCTGTTAGTGATGTGATTCATTGCTTCATGAACTCAGTTTTACAGGCATTTAGTCTTACATGGGCACACATTACATATTGATGTCTAACGTTTACTGCAGAAATCTCTAATGATACGTTATTCATCTTCAGGTCGAGGGAACAAGCTCTGTGGTGTCTGAGCTTGCCAAACTTGCAACACAAGAACAAATGTTGTTGGACCAATCAAAGGATCTCTTGTCCACGGTTGCAGCAATACATGTAAAGACATCTTCTATGGTCATTCTTACTCAATTTCCTTAATGTCATTTATATTTAGTTCGGTGTTAATTATCTGCTTGGAAAAACAGGTCAAAAATTGCAGTTTGCAAACTCATATGCTACAACGAAACCAAAAGCAGAGCCCAACACAATTGTAGATCAGTTTGCCTCGCCACGCTGGTGGTCACTAACATCACACGGACTCATGTTTTCTCACCGGAGACTGTGCTACAGGTAATAAAAAGCTGTAACCATTTGATGGGTGTGAAGCGTTTCCTAATCTGCTCGACCGACCTCACTGAGTGTAGCTGATTCATGTAATTTTTGAGTGCATATCAACCATAGAAGCCCCCTCTTACCTGCAGTCGCCGCAGTTGGTGTATACAGAAATCCCTAGCCTTGACCCAAAGATAAGCTTCCTGTAGATATGAAAAGAGCTTGTCGTTTGCGTGCTTACTCTTCTGTGTGGAGTGCTCGAGTGGTGATGAGTGTTTGTATTGTGAAAGGGAGACGGTTGTTGGCTTGATACAGGTGTTTTCATGGCAAAATATTAACACGGAAGTTGTTTATCCTGACTTGCTCATGGAGTCATGGTATCTGCTTTGATGCATCCTGATTTCTGATAGAGTGGAAATCTTACTCTAGCGCTGTAAAGGTTCTGCCTGCTGCAAGGGCCATCAAACTTTTTTGTTTCAGTCTTGGTCCCAGGTTTAGGGCCGTGGCTACCACTGTTTTCAGCGAGTTGTTTTTGTTAAAAACTGTGGATCGACTAGGGTAGATCTAGACGGATGAATACTTAGACCAGTGAAGCACATGCACATTTAGACCTAGAACACTACATCGAGAAGGAGTTGGGGTAGAGAGGGGCTGGTGATGAACCTGAGCCTTCAGATGAAGTCGCAGATTGTCAGTTGGCCATCGGTTGGTTCGGTGATGGAGGCAAAGACACGGGCAATGACGGTGGAGTAGAGGTTCTTGCGGACGTCGATGCAAAGGCGGTCGGGCGAAGTGCTTGATTGACGACGGCGAGGATCACGTGAGCTTCCGTCAGCCGGGTGCAAGCACCTCTCTTAGATCGGTCTAGGGTTTTGTCGGTGGGGTTTGCGGCTCACGGCGAACCTCGTGCTTTGAGCCGTCGGCCCCCACCTCTTTATATAGCGCAGTGCGACGGGGGCCCACCAACCATGTAGGGTTGAGCGCCCCCGATCGTATGCTGCGTGACCAAGGCCCAATAAGCCGTTGGGCTTATTGGTTAGAAGATCAATCTAACATTCTCCCCTTGATCTCACCATTACTTTTATCTTTAAACTTTAAACTTCAATCCTTTTATCCTTACTCATTTCTTTTCATGATGATGCATAGAGCATGTCTCATCGTCACGGTCAATCGCCGATAGATTTAATACTACAATGCACGTCTCGATCCGAAATAGTTACTTTAACTTTTGGGCCCTTTATAGTCCAGGAATCATAGGCTTTCCCTTAAACCCATGCCGGCTACATGTTCTCGAACGAACACGTTGGGTGGTAAGCCTTTTTGTAAGCGGATCCATGAGCATCTTTTTCGGTACTTATATGCTCAAGACTTATCATTTGATCCCGGACTTTATCCTTCACAACATAATACTTTATGTCAATGTGTTTGGCGGCACCACTTGACCTATTGTTGTGAGCATCTGCATCTTCTTTGGATTATTATCGCAGATAACTTCAAAGATGGTCTATTGATGTCGTCAACCACCTTCAAACGGGTATGAACTTCTTTAGCCAGTTCACCGCCTGTTGCCTCATAACACGCTACAAAACTCGGCATACATTGTGGACGATGTAGTGACGGTTTGCTTTGAGCTTTTCCATGAAATAGCTCCCCCTGCGAGAGTGAACACATATCCAGACGTGGATTTTCTATTATCTCCCGCATAATCAGAATCTGAATATCCCACTATATGGAGTGAATCAAATCTTCTATATGTCATCATGAGGCCTTTCGTTCCTTGCAAATAACGCAAGACTTTCTTTACCAATTTCCAGTGTTCTATTCCAGGATTGCTCTGGAATCTGCCAAGTAACCCAGTAACAAATGCCAAGTCGTATGCGTACACACACTTGAGCATATTGCAAGCTTCCGACAATTTGAAGCATATGGAACCACTTTCATTTGATCGATCTCATATTGGTTCCCTGGGGCATTGAAAATCCCCATATCGTGCGCCCTTGACTATAGGAGCAGTGAGGGACTACATTTGTGCATCTTGAATTTCTTTAAGACTTTTCTATGTATGCCTTTTGTGACAGTCCTAATACCCCTTTACTTCTATCTCGGTGAATCTCGATCCCTAGAACGAACGAAGCTTCACCAAGATCTTTCATATCAAATTTTGAGGACAAAAACTTCTTTGTTTCCAGTAGTAGACTGACATCACTACTTGCAAGTAAGATATCATCCACATACAGGACAAGGAAGATAAACTTCCCATTCTTAAACTTTGCGTAGACACAATTGTCCTCAACATTATCTTTAAACCCAAAATTTTTATTTGTTCGATCAAACTTCAAGTACCACCTGTCTTGAAGCTTGTTTTAATCCATAAATAGATTTCTTTAGGCGGCATCCCAAACGTTTTTTTTCCCTCCATGACAAAACCTTTCGGTTGTGCCATGTAAACATTTTCCTCTAAGTCTCCGTTGAGAAATGCCGTCTTTACATCCATCCGATGTAATTCCAAATCGTAATGTGCCACTAATGCCATTATGATTTCGAAGGAATCTTACACGAGACCGGAGAAAAAGTCTCATTGTAATCAATCCCTTCTCTTTGTGTAAAACCTTTTGCCACAAGTCGGGCTTTATATCTTTCTATATTCCCTTGAGAGTCAAGTTTTGTTTTGTAGACCCATTTACTGACCCTCACTGTTTTGGCTCCTTTAGGAATTATCTCCAAATCCCAAACTTTATTTGCATTCATTGATCTCATCTCATCTTCCATGGCCTCAAGCCACTTTGATGAATGATCACTTTTCATGGCTTCTTCAAATGAGGTGGGATCATCCCCATTTGAAATTCTTGATGTTGTACACTTCATAATCAGCAGGAATAGCTGATTTTCTAACTCTTTGAGACCTTCTAGGGCCTCCTCAATTGGCACATTTTCTCATTTGAAATTGTTGTTGCTCCCCTCATGTGTGGCAATAGGTTCTATAGGATCCGAGGCATGTGTTCCTCATCATCATTCATTGTTGCCACAAAGCGGGATAACAACAGTCTTGGCACCACGTTGTCTTGTATTGTTGCAAAGAACAATGTGAGTAGTGAGAAAAATGGCTCATGAATGATCGGAGTGGGTGCATACACCCGCTTCTCTTCAAGGTCAATTTCTCGAGCTACCATGCTCCCCTAATCATTTCATTCTCTAGGAAGACAAGCGTGTCTCGTTTCCACAAACTTTGTATGTCTGTTAGGGACAAGAGAAACAAAAAACCTTTTGACTTTTCTCGGGTAGCCAATGAAATGGCAACTCACCTGCATTTTGGGATCTAGCTTCCCAATGTTTGGGTTAAAAACTTTAGCCTCGGTGTAGGCTCCCCCACACACGCAAGTGGTTAAGTGAGGGTACTCTTCCTGTCCACAACTCATACCGGTGTTTTGGGCACCGACTTACTTGGTACTCTATTGAGAATATGAATGGCGGTTTTAACGCCTCCATCCATAGACTCATCGGTAAAGTGGAGTAACTTATCATACTACGCACCATATCCATCGAAGTACAGTTCGCCTTTCAGCCTACTCCATTCTCACGAGGTTAGCCCGGTGTTGAATACTGGGCGACTATACCATTCTCCTGTAAGAACCTTGCAAAGGGTCCAGGAACTTGTCCATATGGGGTATGCCGACCGTAGTACTCTCCTCCACGGTCAGACCTGACTATCTTAATCTTTAAATCATGCTGATTTTCAACTTCTGCTTTAAATATTTTAAATTTATCCAACGCTTCTGTTCTTTCTTTAATTGGATAAATATAGCCAAACCGAGAGTAATCGTCTGTGAATGTTATGAATGAATCATAACCATCCACACTTTTCACAGGAAAAGGACCACATATGTCTGTGTGAATAATCTGTAGAATTCCTGCGCTTCGTTTGGCATCTTTCTTAATTTTCTTTACATACTTTCCTTTTATGCAATCTCTACATTGTTCTAACTCTGAGAGCTCTAATGAAGGAAGAATATTATTCTTAACTAGTCTTTCTATTCCCCCCCTCGAAATATGGCCTAAACGACAGTGCCATAATTTCGACAACGCATCGTGAGCTCTCTTTCGTTTTCTATTTCCATTGTTCGATGAGGATACATTTTCATTCACATCACATACGGAATTCACATTTTCACGAAGTGATAACAAATAAAAGCTCGTCTTGTCGGAAGGCAAGACCAACACATTTATTATTAAACAATATCTGACATTTGCCATTTCCAAAATGGCAATCATAACCATCATGGTCCAACTTTGATACACTAATCAGGTTTCTTTTCAAAGAAGGTACATAAAGAACATCTCTAAGAAAAAGTATAAAGCCATCCGAAGCTCTAGAGGAAGATCTCCAACGGCCTCAACTTCGCTTGTACTCCATTTTGCGACTTTAATGAAACTTTCGCTTCTTTGCAAAGTTCTCATCGAACGGAATCCTCAGAATGAATTAGCAACATGAATAGTTGCACTGAATCAATCCACCAAGTAGATTTTGAAAACTTTACATACAAGGATTCATTTACTGAACGTAATAATGTTCTCACCTTTATTCTTCATTATCATCTTTAGGAAATCGGGACAGTTCTTTTTATAATGTCCCGTCTTCTTGCAAATGGAGACACCGGTCTTTAGCCACCAGGAATTCTTGATTCGAGGCTGTTGCATGGGACCTTTTCGAGATGACTTGGAGGAAGAGTCTGTTATAATAGTTCTTTTTCTTATCTTTTAGGTAGTTGATGAACCACCTTGTGAAACTTTTATTCTTTCCTCCTCCTCCCCGCACACACATGGCTATG